CAATCCTGAAGCGGGGAAGGTTGAGCCCTAGTGAGGAGTGCAGGCCCAGTGTGGCTATGGACGGTGGTGTTTAACTGTTAACTGTGACTCTTTTTAGTAAAAAAGACGGTAATATTTAATTTTTTCAACATTGTGTTCTTTATTTTTCTGCCTTGTGCCTCGGCACCTTTGTACCTAAAATAGTGCCATAAGCGGCGACTTGTAAATTTTTCACTGCACTTGTGTGAGCACAATAAACCTAATTCAACTCAATCCAATCCAATCCAAAAAAAATTGGTATATGTACGTTGGGCTGAATGGTCTCCTCTTTTCATTTCATATTCTTTTGCTTCCCTGATCGCATATCATTGGTCAGAACTTTTATTCTTTAGTATTGTAATGAAAGCACTGAGCTAGAGGCTTCATTATTTCTATCTGGGAGTATATTGAAACAGCTTAAAAACCTAATCATCTACATCCCATTTAAAGAGATCATAACATTAAAAAGGGTTCCTTACAGTCCAAGCAATGATTTTTTGGGCTCGCCAGTTAAGCGGCTGTTAGAAATTGTTGTTAGTTGTCTAACCAACAAAATACCACTTAAATGCACCAGTCTAATTGCCTGATGTTGTGCCTCTTTTTCTGAGGGTCGATATTACAGGATGTGCCTCCTGGCAAGTCAGCAGCACACTCTGAATCAACTATCAGCAGTATCACTGACTCCAAATGTCACAGCTCTCAATTTAGCAGTCGGTTTCAATTTATGTTACTTAACTAAACATTGAATACCAGCACAAACTCTGAAGTATCCTGTATTCAGAATCAAATCATGAGATTTAAGGGCTAGGAATCAAAGTGGAGAACACAGTATACCACTGCAGTGTGACGTCTGGTTAGTCTGTCCTGCCAGTGGAACAGACGTACTTAGGGATGATGATGCTAGTATCTGGGATATTGCCCATAGGGTAGGATTCCCTGAAGATGACCAGTTCGGGTATTCTTATTTATGACGTGATTGAACGGTATGTGGGGCAGTTCTCCTGATGTTGGTACAAGCCCCCCAGTGTCAGTAAGGACTAAGAAGAATGGCACGGTGGCTCAGTAGTTAGCACTACTACCTCACAGCACCAGGGACCCAGGTTTGATTCCACCCTCGGGTGACTGTCTGTGTGGAGTTTGCACTTTCTCCTTGTGTCTGTGCGAGTTTCCTCCGGGTGCAGGCTAGATGGGTTGGCCATGCTAAATTGCTCATAGTGTTCAGGGATGTGTAGCTTAGGTGGGTTATAGGGGGATGGGTCTGGGTGGGATGCTCCAAGGGTCAGTGTGGATTTGTTGGGCCAAAGGGCCTGTTTCCACACTGTAGGGATTCTATGACGATGATGACTTTGCAGGGCTGGGTTGCCATTGGAGGTTTCATCAAGTTGGCATTGCCAACTGTTGGGGATCAGGGTTATATTCATTAGCATGCCATATAAAGAATCTAACACCCAGTGGTAGTTCTCTGCAGTGGCAACTTTACAATGCTAACTCATAGGAGCATGAAGCATTGCCAAGGCATGCACCACTGTCTGCTCAGAGCAGCAGATCATTCATCCTCTTGTGGTATAGGAGTCAGGTTCCCTTAAACTGCCCATGGACTCTAACCTTCATAGTAACCTCTGTCCAGTCTGTCTTCATCAGTTGGGATGACCCCATGTTTGCATCCCTAAGGCAAAGAACTGCTCTTCTTTTCTTAGCAGCCTTCAGGAAAACCTCTATGGAGGCATTGCTAAAGCATGACTTGGTTTTTTGCCCAGTCTCTGACATCTCCACGAGTGGGTGGATGTGACGAGCAGAGGTTGAGTGATGTTGCGGTGTTACAGATGATGACGTGCTGTCAATGTACTTGTTAAATATGACACCCAGGTGTTCTGCCTTTGCATAAATATGTAATGAACTGAGAAGACTGTAATCATTTGGGACAAGCCAGCCAACCACCAGGTAAAACACCACCACTGGATTATAGTAGTACACTGACTGACTACATGATTACCTGCCCTGCATACTCTGGTTGGTGTTAGCTGCACACACCTTCGTCCAGATGGTGATCAGTACAATTTGTGGTGCAGTATGAGCACAATGACATGCATCAGATATCACTTTCTTTCCTGTCTGTTACTGCAGTTCTTACACAACAGGCATTACTGAGCCCTATTCGGCACCCTAGTTGCCTGTGCTGCGCAATCTCTATTCCTTTAATCATAAGGTCAATGCTGATGAATTTGCACTTCTAAGGAATAGCAACTTGAGACAGGTTCTAATGATAGGTACAAAAAGTGAAACATGACAGGTGATCAATTCCAGCCCAGGTTAGCATTGCAGTGAACTCTTAATGTCTATAGAGAACAGTTCAGTGCTAATACGAATTAGCTGAAACATTCCCCTTTTCAGGTAAATTGTAATTGTCACAATGCTAAACATAGTAATAATTAATAATCGTTTTTTAAAAATCATAAATGTTGCAAAAGGAGATGGGGGGAGTTCTACTGAGCCTGATTTAAACTTTGTGTAAGTGATTGGGTTTTGCAAGAATTAAAATATTGCCCTATTTCAGGGCTTTCCAAGGCGGAGGTTGAAATGTATCTGTCTCTGTCTGTGAATGACATAATCTCAGCTATTATTTATAGGAGCTGTCTTCAAATGGAAATTGGAAGGGTTGACAATGTTTGATGGATGTAAAACCAGGGCAGAAGCCAGATTTAAACATATGGGACAGTAAGTTATTGCTGAGTCCAGCGAGGAAGGGAAGGAGTGTACCATTCCCCAGCATAGAAAGCAGCTTCAAGGCAGGTTCAAGAAGGCAGCTATCCACCACCTTCTCAAGGGCAACTAGGGATGGGCAATAAATGTTGGCCAGCCAGCAACTCCTATATTCCACAAGTGAATAAAAAATATAGGCAAGAGGAACCTGCTGGTCTTGCCAAAAGGGTATGGATAAGGGTAAAAGAACAAGCATCAGGAGAACTGTACCCAGATCATAGATACAATGTAGCAGTATGACCTAATTCACAGCACTTTCGTTCAAGGAAAGTTAGTAAATTTACTGATTCAATCACATCCTGTGCTTTAAACAATTGCCTCTTCCTAACGTCGATCTGCCTTGCTAAGTATTTACCATCACATGATTCCTCACACTGATTTAACTTTCAGAATCCTGCAGCATTCATTTCCTATTCACTTCACCAGGTTCCCGTTTATCTATCCACTGTTCACACTCACACTAATCCTTGTAGAATGTAGTACTTTATGTTTTATAGTCATCCTTACTGAAAGCACTGTGTCCACAGGGTGAAATCCTTAATTTCACTCATTTACAGGTTTGTTTTTCCACCTTTTGTAGGAGAAGACCAAACTCAAAAGGAGAGGAACTGAACTGGAGCTGAGCCACCACAGACTGGACAGTTCACAAAAGCAGAAACGGACTCCCTTGAAATATGTGACTCATCTCGGTCCCTTTAGGATTTGTAGATAACCAGTGACAGAATTATAAATACCCAAGACACACATATGGCAACATCACTTGATAAATTACTGAACTATAAAGCAAATTGATTGCCAGATTATTTCATTTTCTTCTGCCTGTCAGGACTTGCATAACAAATACTGTGAGTCATCCATGAAGGTGGTTTCTCAGAGAATATGTTGGCATCAAGATCTACAACCTTTTACCAGTGCAAAAACTCACATCGGTGATCTTATTTAATATTTAGTTGGTGATTCACAATTCTTGAGGTTTGAACAGACGCAGAAACAAGAGTGGAGAGTCCACATTCAAAAGCAGGATAGAAAATGGAAGAAGGAGTAGATCTTTCAGCCTTTTGAACCTGATCCAACTTAGCACCTTGTTCCTGCTTTCCCCCCAATCTCCTTTGATCCCTTTAGCCTAAGAACTAGATTTAACTCCTTCTTGAAAACATTCAAAATTTTGGCCTCAACTGCTTTCTGTGGGTGGAAATTTTCCAAAAGCTCTCCACTTTATGGGTGAAGAAATTTCTCCTCATCTCAGTACTAAATAGTCTACCCTTCATCCCTAGATTATGACCCCAGGGTCTGGTCTCCCTGGTCACCAGGGACTTCCTTTTTATGTTTATCCTGTATAATCCTGTTAGAATGTTACAGGTTTCTATGAGATCTACCCTAATTTTTCCCAAAGAGTGCAATGCTCTCCAAGCTCTGCAATGACAGAAGATGCAGAACCCCAGGGTCTACCACTGAGAATGAGAACTGCATTTACATCTTAGCCAGGTACACTCTCCACAACAGTGCAAAGAAGGATCGACTCCAATTAAATCATGAGAGAATTAAGAGGAACATGCAATGGAAGGGGGCACAGAGTTGGATGATCAGCTGTTTAACATGGCCAATACACCTAACTTGCACATCTTTGGACTGTGGGAAGAGACCAGAAAAAAACCCGCGCAGACACAGGGAGAACGTGCAAACTCCACACAGATAGCTGCCCGAGGGTGGAATCGAACCCGGGTTCCTTGCACTGTGAGGCAGCAGTGCTAACCACTGACCCACTTTATAAGTTTACAATCTTATTGTTAGCTACAGTGAATTGAGTCTACTGACCACTCTAAAATTTTGCAAATAACCAACATCTGGAAGTAAGTTAAAAGTTGACATCTATTTGAAGGGATCCCATGGTTAATACATGGTGTGAAAGATAATGGGAAGGAAGTTGAGAGCAATTAGTTACTTGAGATATCCAGATGATAGAAATCATTAGCTGATTCATACTGCTGCTTTTTGAAAATGTTTCATTCCATTTGAAAACCGATCTCTGTATGGATGCTGTGAACTCATGCAAAGTGCGATTAAGTCATTCTCAGAAATATTTTTTAGGCTTACTACAGCATGCTAGCTGCCGGATCCCACTCTGCTTTTGGAGCCGTGCAATTGCCTGTCATGTGGTATCTACAAGCAATCGCAAGTCCCATATGGACTGCATTTTGTGTTGAAGTGGTAAGATTATTTACCTTTTTACATGCTGTGATGGAGCTCCCTGTAGTGCATGTAGATCTCTCTGTTTCACTGCCTGGGATTTTTTCAGAGTCCTCCGAGGGTTGACGCATTTGGGACAATTCAAAGTCACTGCAATAGAAGACAGAAAATTGAGGCAGTGGCACTAAATTAGTTCATTTTTATTGCAAGTTAAATGTTCTTGGAAGCATCAACTTTTCATGTGTGATTTTAGAAACCATTAACATTTTCTGTAATTGTTCAGCATCCTATTTCTTTTTGCCAGATTTAATCTGTTTGTAATGGTCTGACTTTTAATCATAGAATCCCTGCAGTGTGGAAACAGGCCCTTTGGCCCAACAAGTCTACACTGGCCCTTGGAGCATCCCACCCAGACCCATCCCCCTATAACCGACCTAACCCACCCCTGGAACTATGGGCAATTTAGCATAGCCAATCCACCTACCCTGCACATCTTTGGACCGTGGGAGGAAGCCACAGCAAACTCACACAGACACAGGGAGAATGTGCAAACTCCACACAGACACAGGAAGAATGTGCAAACTCCACACAGACAGTCGCCCTGGGTCCCTGGCGCTGTGAGGCAGCAGTGCTAACCGCTGAGCCACTGTGCCGCCCTAGAGATTCCAGAGCTGAAAGCAGAGGGGTAAAGATTTGTTTTGCCTCATGTTATTGCCAACTCTTGTGACCCAACCAGGAGGCCTGAGACAGGTCTACTCAGGTCTACTTAATATTGACAATGCGCTTTGGCTCTGCTGCCAATTTGTCCCTTTTAGAAGATGTAATGTAGGCTGCTTGCCATAGATGAGGCCCTCAGCAGGTCAGGAGAGCAGCAGGAGACAGGCAGCCAGTCAGTCAGCAGGATTGGCACAAAGCAACCAGGACTACTCCAGTTTCTCCTGGTCACACAAAGTTACCTTTTAGATTGTCACAGACTGCTAGGCTAGACTCATGACTGGAACAGCTGAAAGGAGACAGAGTAAGGAACCATGTAAATACAATTACAAGTAAACACTTCTTTAGTAAAAGAGTCATCTCAGTATCTTCCTTCAGTGCATTGTCTGAAATTGAAATTGCATCAATGGGAACATTCAACACTATGACGTTTTTAGCCTCTATGAAAAAGACATATTGCTATGGCACAACCAGTTTTTCCAATTGCACATTCCCAGTTGATTAACAAAGTGAAGTAAACAGAGTACAGCAAGCACAAGAGAAAAGGGGAAAATAAGATTATTATACAATAAAAGAATATGCTACCAAAAAGCTCTGAGTCATGATCTCATTTGGTACATCAGGGCTATATCTACTGACACTCTCCAACACTGGCCTGGCTATATTTTGTGATAAAAGCCGGGGACAAAATAAATTGGAAAGAAACGTAAATAGCCTTATCCACTGCGTCCATCATTGCTCACTGCCTTCCACAGTTAGTCATCTGCTATATTTACCTTTACTCATTTACCCAATGAAGTAGTTGACGCTATTTCAGTAAACATTTTTAAAGAAAAGGTAGATTTTTTTTGAACAATAAAGGAATTAAGGGTTACGGTGAGAACGCGGGTAAGTGGATCTGAGTCCACGAAAAGATCAGCCATGATCTTATTGAATGGTGGAGCAGGCTTGAGGGACCACTAGTTCTTATGTTCTTATGTTCTTATGTTCATTGCCTGATCTTTTGGTACTATCACTTCCTGCTTTTCTGTTCTCTCTTCCTCTCCCACTGTTCACTTTATGTGAATACTGTCTTTTTTCCAAATCATTTCACTCACTGTTATGCTACTTATTGTAGGAATTTTTTGTCTTCTTGTCCCGCATGGCTGTTGTTAGTAAATGGAAGTTATTGACAGTCAGTAAAAATTTGTACATTTCAGGTAACCATGTATCTGATCCAGGCATATAATTCCACAGCATTCAACTCCTCCCAGTCAGTACTTGTTATAAATCTGTCAATATTCATTCCTATTTGACAATTTCCTTTCTCACTTATTCTGTCAAATTCCAGTCAACACACCTTCTCAACTCTAATCTTGTTATGTAGCATTTGAATCAACATATCCCACTATAATTTACTACCAGGGTACAGGATTCCAACTGACCATGAATATATGTAAAAAAAATTTGTGGAAAAAAAAATCAATATCTTTGTTAGCGACTCAGGCCAAAGCATTTGGTAGATACCTTATGGCTGTCCATGCATTTTCTTTGAGTGTAATTGTTTGGTGATGTGGTTCAGGATCTGATTAAGAATTCCACAGCCAGATATAAATAAATGGGATGGTTTCAAATTAAATGAAATGGTCCTTATCTTCCGTTGTAAAGAATAACAAAATTGTTTTCATCCTTACTCAATCTGGCTTACATGTGACTTCAGACACAGCAATTTGATTAACAATGAGCTGCTCTTGGGCAATTAAGGATGAGCAATAAATGCTGGCCTGGCCAATGATACTCCCCTCCCAAGAACAAATGAAACAATGAAGGACAACTCCTACTATTCATTTGTAATTTATATAACTTAAATATGTCAGATAATTTCCTACCATTCTTCCACCTAGAGAACGTTGATAGTTTGCCAAAGAACATTGACCTTTTTCATGCACTGTGCTGTTTCCAAATGCCAATAAAGATATTATCAAAATTACTAGCAGTGAATCGATATGTACTCCAAGCAGCTAGACATCTATTTTTGAAATCTGCAAAGATGTGTTTTTTTGTTGGGATGTTGACTTGTTTTGGTCATCACCTATAAGAACTTAAGAAATGAAACTGATACTAGGCCATTCAGCCCCTTAAACTTCCTCTAACCTTCAAAGAGGTTGTCACTTATATTCTACTTCAACACCATTTTCTTAAACTCTATCCCTAAATAGCTTTAATCTGTAGAAATCTATCAATCTCAAGCTTGAACACACTCAATGACTGAGCCTCCGCAGCCCTACAGTGCAGAGAAATTGAAAAGATTCAACCCTTTGACTGAAGAAGTTCCACCTCATTTCAAATGATTTAAAGCACTCTTAATAGTTGAAATCAATGTGATGGCACTGACTCATTCATATACATTGAAGTGTAAAAATGTTAATCATTTGTACACAATTATATCACTTTAATATGATAAAAGCTGTTCTGGAATGTATCTGCATCCCAGATCACGTGATCTGATGTAGCAATGGAAAATTGTTGTGTCTTAGTGGCCTAAACTAGTTCTTATTTGTCTTCATTAATGTGTCCACTCTAATCAGTTAACTCTAATTATCCAGATCCTAATTATCAGCTTGTTATATTCCACCAAATGTCACTTACAGGCAGCAACACATTTTAGATACATAATCAACTTTTGTGTGTAATCACAGATTCTTGGTAGGTGCTCTGTCATTGCTTAATGTGTATCAGTGAACAAGAGATAAATTGGACTTGAGCACAGATATGCAAGCGAGCTATTGTAAAAACTGGCATCTGTCACATTCTCAAAAGGATAATTCCTGTTTCAAGCATGCATTTCTGGGAAAAATGATGTGTTTAAAGAGATTTTACTGTAATATACCACACTTCTCATCTTAAGGATATGTGTCTGAAAGGGTTAATACAGAGGATTGCCATAAGAGCCACCCATTTTAATGCTGTTAAATGGGCAAGACAGCTTTGGATCGTGACGGCATAAGACTAGTCATCCTCAATTTCTCTGTGACAATGTCTATCATAGCATGTAACTTGTAATTAGTCGCTAATTTGCAATAAATTGGATTTTGTTAAGGGCAATAGATCCTTCTGATAGACCAGCAAGTGAATTTTCTCCATTTCATAAAACTAAGCTGGCCCTGTCGTTTACACATAAAGAGGATAGTGGCAGCAATGCTTCATTAATGATCTTCCTGCCATCATAAGGTCAGAAGTGGGGAAGTTGACCGATGATTGCACAATGTTCAGCACCATTCGTGACTCCTCAGACACTGAAGGAGTCCTTGTTCAAATATGGCAAGATCTGGACAATATCCAGGCTTGGGCTGAAAAAGTAGCAAGTAATACTCACACCACACAAATGCAATGACCCTATCCAATAAGAGACAGGCTAACCACCATCCCTGGACAATCAATGGCATTAACATCACGGAATTCCCCATGATCATCATCCTGGGAGTTACCATTGACTAGAAATTCAACCAGACTCATTGTATAAATACAGGGGCTACAAGAACAGGGTCAGAGACTCAGAATACTGTGGTGAATAAATTACCTCCTGATAGCCCAGAGACTATCCACTATCTAGAAGACTCAAATCAGGACGGTGATGGACTCTTCACTTTCCTGGATGAGTGTAGCTCGACAACACTCAAGAAACTTAACACTATCCAGCAAAACACCCCACTTGATGAGCACCACATCCACAAACACCACTCCCTCCATCACCCATGCTCAGTAGCAGCAGTGAGTACCATCTACAAGACGCACTGCAGAAATTCACCAAAGATCCTCAGACAGCTTCAAAACCCACGATCTCTTTCACGTAGTAGGACAAGAGCAGAAGATACATATGAACACCACTGCCAAGAGTCCGTCTAAGGCACTCACCATGAGTTTGACTTAGAAATGATTTGGAAATATATAACTATTCTTTCATAGTTTCTGGGTCAAAATCTTGGAATTCCCTCCCTAAAGGCATTGTGGGTCTGCCTAGAGCACATGGACTGCAGAGGTTCAAGATGGCAGGTCATCACCACCTTTGAGGGCAATTAGGGATGAGCAATAAATGCTAGCCAGCTAGCGGTTTCCATGGTGAATAAAAAACCACTACATTATGAGCAACAGCTCAAAAGTATAAATAATTTAATGGACTTCGCAGATAGGCACATGTTTCTGTCAACACAGGTTGTCAGTGAAGTATCAAGAAATAACCTACAAAGAACACTATGGAAGTTAAAAACAAGTTGACTAACATGATATATACCCACTGGGTAGTGATCTGAACAAATAAACACTCTTGAGCTTCAAATATTTCTAAACACCTTCTTCAACTGGCTGGTGGCACAGTTGATGGGAAGATGCTACTGCCAAACTTTATTATTTTTAGCAGAATTCATCACAACATATTATAACCATTAAATATTTGTGAT